TAGAGTCTGAAAAACCCTAGAATTGTAATATTTTTTTTAATTTGTCTCTCTAGTAAATAACTGTTGCAGCATGTAATTGCATAAATATCACTTATAGTTCAAACTGATTTTATTGTCCATTTATAAAAATTCATCTGTGTTTTATTTTCTTGATGAAATGCCTTGACGTACTGTCACATAACATTCATGTGTGCTTTATATATATTCCTGTAATTTCAGGAACATTCCGATGATACAACAAACACATCAACTGAGAAGTATGAAACGCTGATCACAGGTCTTATTAAAGCACATGTAAGTTTTATATATATTCATAATTAAATTGCTATTCAGAAAAAACAATCTTCTTAGGCATACATGTATATGGACCAATTTCTGACTTGGCACAAAGTTAATATCTCCCATAGCTGCCCATCGCTTTGCTTTATCATCTAATCAAAGATGGCCGACTGGTGGCCATTTTTTCTGTCAAAATGTTTAAACTTCATACATTTCTTTCTAGCACTGGAAGGCCAGGTCAAATGAAATATTTCATCGAATTCTATTTTTTATGAATTATTGTTTTCATTATATTTTTTAAAAAGGCCAATGGCAACATTCTCTATGGATTCTATTCATTGAACTGATAGTACATTTTTTTTTTTCCAGAATTTTCCTGAAGCTAAGCGATTATTTGATGAAGCTAGGAGTAAAGAACATGTATTCGATGATAATATGTATCTTAATATCTTCAAATCAGCCACACGATTGAATTATATGAAAGATGCTGTTGCACTGAAAGAACTGTAAGTCTAGGTGAAAATTTATTGATTGATATGTTTGGGTTTTCGTACAGTATATTTGTCAAAATGATGAAAAGTTAGTTGTAGAGAATTTGAGAAAATGTAAAAAAAAATAAGAATTATATTAATTAAACAATAGGAAAAAAATGAAATTAAATCGTAAAGTAGTTCTTTTTCATTTATCGTCATTTTTAAGAAAACGTGTTATTTCAGATTTTTTCAAAAATATTATTTAGACCTAAATTGTATATGACTACAGGGAGATTTTATCCATTCTTCCCAAAATTAATAGAAAATTGTAGAAAAAAATGTGCCAACTTTTGTACACGATTTTTGCGGGGAAAAGTGTGACCTACAAAGGAATAATAACGCGTTGTTCTTGCGTTCTTTTCTATTATTAGATGCATTGAGAAAGGCATAGAGCTGGATGACTACGCCATGTCAGATCTGATAGTCTGTTATATCAAGAATAATGATGTTCAAGGTAAAGAGTGTCCTTGTCTGTTTCTTAAGGAAGGCACCCATTGGCTGCTAAAGCACTATATTGAGTTTGTATCTGAATGATGACCAATTAGAACTGGGCTTGTTTGGTTATATTCTGTAAATTGTAAATGTATATTTCAGTGTAAGTCCAAATATGGACGTACATGTGCAGAGGATCTTTCTCTTTGTTATACATTATGACGTATAATAACAATCGTAAATATAACTGTATTAAGTATCTTGTATAATTAATGGCTATGACGACTTTCGACTCGATTCATGTTGTTGTATCCAACGCAAGGCACTCCTGTGCTTCTATCTAGAAGTAATTTGGTAAACCTACTAGCCTAGTTGTGATGCGCATTGAATCGCTGAAGCTGTACGCTTCCCATAAAGGTTTGTCAGCCGGAAGGGGTCACGTTTCTGAAGTATAATCCCAAGTGTCAGGTCAGATCAGGACGGTAACTTACCTCTAAGTAACTGACGTTTACATATTTTTATTCGTCTCCTAGAAGCTGAACAAGTTTTCAATGATCTGGTTGAGAAAGGCCGACCCCCGTTGAGGTTTGCTTGTATTGCATTGGCTCGTCAGTTTGAGTCTGAAGGTAAACCTGACAAGATCAAAGACATTTACGAAAAGTACAACCAAGTCGGACAAGAGAAAATCCCGTTCATGAGATTTTTACTTGGTGCTTACATCACCTGGTAAGTCCAATTTTACTGAGTGGAGTTATTTTTATGTTATCATTATTATCCATCTGTCGAGTTATTCTCTGAAATAATTTGTCTTATGGCTTTGATACTTTGCTTCTCATAGATTGTCATTTGACCATAAGATTATTACTAGCCAAAATAACACTCCTGTCCCACCACTAGAGGGCGCCCTCCGATGCAACAGCATCATTTAGTCATTGTGGCGCAGTGTTTCAAGAAGTGTGGGTACTATCGAACTGGATGTGTTACTGGAAGTTTATTACATTCTTAATGTACAAACTATAGACTTATTTATTTTTTGGCCAGAATTTTCCTTTTGACTTGTATTCACTGCGCACAAGGTACCGTAGTAATCGTTCCTGTACTTGTTCATTTTACACTGATTTATAATTTTCTCCTTCAAAATTCTACCAACAAAAATAAAACATGAGAATTGTTATTTGTGTTACAGCCAGAATCCAGACGCAGCTATTGAAACAGTACGAGAAGAACTGATTGAAAAGAAGACACCGCCTGGTGCTGTTGGTACAAAGGCACTGTTTAAAAAACTTATTGTGAATAATTTCGAATTAGATAAAGGTAGGTCTGTTTTTGTTCGTTCTTGTTTCTGAATATAATCTTAATGTGTTATTTTCAATCCTTGAATATTTCAGTATTCATATTCTCGGGG